TCACACTGGTTCTAATACTTAATAATAGTTGAACCAGGCTCTTTATTAAGCTAATGGGTCGATGCAGGGGCAGTAGAACTATCAGTTGCACTTGACAGGCTGAGCCATTAGAGTGGTTGATTTGGTTTTCTGAACCCATCTATGGTGGCTTGCAAAGCATGGTTTATGGCTGAGTGAATTCTGTGCATCCAGCCAGTTCTGATTTATTTCAGAAATCACAGCCACTGATAAATTGCCATTTAGTCAGTACTGGGTCACCTAAACAGAAAAAGGCTTGCTGTCAGCCACGGCATTAATTGTTGCAAGTTGTCCTACTTAACACAAGGCATGCCTTGAGAGATTCTCTTATGAAAAGCACTGTTGAGATGACCAGGGGTGGCACTGAGCCTGAAATAGTGAGGAGGAGGAGGCGGATTTGCATCAAGATGCTGCCTTTCCTCAAGATGGCTTCCATAGGAGTCTTCCCTGCTTTCATCTTCCCCTAGGGAGTAGCCCGGGCAGAGACACAATGAGCAGCCCAGAGTCACCCATTTTACTCCACAGTCGCATGCATTTGCAGCCCGGCGTTTTAACCACCGCACTCCCCTGCCCAGGGAGCTGAGGTGAGGGGTGCAGTTAGGCTCCGTGCCCACCCTGGGGCTTTTTCCAGGGGTTACCATTTCCGTGTTTGGCGAGCCTGACCCTCCCCGTTTCTTCTCCCTTTGACTCGCCGCCGCGAGCCAGCCAAATCCCCCTCCTCGCCTCCCCGGGGCTGAGGCCGTGATTCTTGTTTGGGCCTCGGGAACAAGAGTGCCAACCAAAGGCTCCGCCTGGAGTGTCGGCAGCTCTCTGAGGTGTGTTGGAAGAACTCCAGGCGAGCATCGAAAGGGTTGTTTAATAATATCTGACGGGCGCGGAAGAATTCGGGCAGGCGGCCAAGATACACACGGCCTGTAATAGTTAACTCGATCTGTAAACAGTTCAAACGGCACTGGGGAGGCCACCGGCTCTTACATTAGCGGCCCGCCTTTCATCTCGCCGCGCCACAGGCAGCCTCGCAGGCCTCGTTGGCCGCTCCCGCTGGCGGTGGCGAGAGTTGGAGGCGAGGTCCTGCGGGCAGGCTGCGCGGGACGCGGGCAGGCCCGGCCGGCCCAGACAAAGGCCTCGCTGCGAAGCGCTGACCTTCAAACCTACCGCGCTGGAGCGGACGGAGGTGGTTTCTTTCGCTCCGCACGTGGTCGAAGTCCACGAGGGCCGCCGTTGCTCCCGCGAGCGCCTATTCCGTCCCCGCTCGCTCAGCCCTCGGCTCGCCCGGGCCGGGCGCTCAGCTAAGCCTCTGGCTTTCAAGGCCAGCGGGGTGCAGAGGGCTTCCCGAGCCTAGCGCCCCCTCGATGGTCGTGTTCACACGACATGCTTAAAAGGGTTAGATAAACACACCCTGCTGTGTTTCCATAGCTCGCTAATCTTGGCTATATTGCATCCAGGCTTGGTGTGTTGTGGGAACCCAGAACGCTTGATAAATTTGTGGTGCAATATACCGGGGGAACATAGAACGTGGATTTTATTCTGCATCCAGTGGAAGAGAATATAGGTAGCTCAGGGTTGAACTGTGGAGTCCTTGGGGTTCTCTGAGCTTTGTTGTTTTTTTTGCAAACATTTCATTACCCGGCTAGGTAACATCTTCAGTGCTAGAATGGAGTGGGGTTTGCTCTCTCCAGTCACTTATTCTGCATCCAGGCTGAGCGTGTTGGGTGAACACAGTGAATATATTGGGACAGCATCTGGCTGGACATTTCTGAGAGTCTCAGTCCTAAAACATCTGGAAATTAGGGTGGGGAAGACTTCAGTAGATGGTAGATCCCCCATATTTCCCCAGTGAGGTCAGGGGCAAGCTTGCAGTATCCTAGTGCTCAGTTTGGGAAGGCTCCCCAACCTTCCCTCCCCAGCTATTTGCACATGAATCTGTATTCCACCTGGTCAGACTGTTTATCCCATCCATCTAGACAAAATATGGTCTACTCCAGTCTGGGTAATTGCTGTTGCCAGCCCCCTTTGCTAGATGTCTCCAGTTGTGGGCAAAACACACATGCTTTTCCATTAAATGCAAAGTTCATGCTTTTCCACTGAATTTCTCTCCTTCCCTTTCTGCTTTGCTGGCCTCTGATTGCTTTCTATTGTAGTTATTTATTCAAAAAAAAAAAAACCCCAACAATCCAACAACCTTCTATCCCCTGCCTTCCAGTAATGTAGAAGTCAGGAGAGTGTTTGTTTTTCTCATTAAATATAGGCTGTGAAAGTTTCATTGTCCCACAGTAGGTTATTAGGAGTTCAAAATATACCTTGGCAACAGGGCACAAAAATGGCAGTCTCTGTGGCATATGGTTCCCTAGCCTCTAGTGATAAGCTTGTACATCAGCAATGAGTGTGCCATTAGGGCAGGATTCTGGAGTAGAAATCTACGCTCCACTTAGTTGAATGAGATTATTAAGTCCAGAATCTCGTATTATCTACAGTATATGGCATCAGTGCTTAGAGAGAAGAGGCATTTCCCTCTGGGAATTAATGTCTACATGTGTGTTGTACATCAAAATAATTGCAGCAAAGGTGAGGAATCTATAGCCCTCCAGATGTTGCTGAATTACAAGTCCTAGCAGCCCCAACCTGCATGGCCAATGGTGAAGAATGCTGGGAGTTGTAATTCAACAGCATCTGGAGGGCCATAGGTCCCTCAACTCTAGGTAGCAACACTCTTTCTAAAAATTTGAGTAGAACTACATATGAATGATGAATATTTCTGGAAATGCAGCAGCAAATAGGTTGCATTTTTGCTTATAAAGACTAGAGAACCATATCATGATGGCTAGGAGACTGAGTAGGAACCATATCTTTGAGAGATACAGCTCTCCTTCCTTTGATCCATCAGACATACTGTCAGCCCCACACAGAGAAGCTGCTGTATAAAACAGGCGTGCCAGCTTTCTTTTAACCAGTGTGTATGAGTGGGGGGAAAGAGATGCTATCAGACTTTCAATGAAGTTCTCCCTTGATCCTTTGCCAAAGCTGGCAGCAGGTGTGAGCTCACCTTTGGTCTATCAGACAGCAGATGCAACAGCACAGATGGCCATTCTTTCCCCAGAAGAACAGGCATTACATTAGCCATAAACCCTTCCCCTGACCAGCTGACATAGGGGTTGACGCCAGTTGACAGAACAACCCCCTCCAGTCTCCCATGGATGGCCTTTTTTGTTGTGGTTGTTTATTGCCCTTGATCATCCAATTGATCAAGAAGGGTTTTAAGAAAGGTTTTCTTAAGGAACTTTCACAGAAAAGAGGTTGACTGATCAATTACTACCTTTATTTTTTTCCATCTTTTAGGCTCAGCTTTGTGATTGGAATATTTCCTCTCCCCTGCCATAAGACATGGCAATTTTTAAATAGCCCACACCCTTTGGAAGCAGCCAAATGGCATTGGAGGTGGGCAACTTTCTAATAGCGCTTTTGCTCTCTCTCTCTGGCCAGATTCTGAGCAATTCCTCCATTTGATATCTACAAGGCAGCAGTGACAGTTCTGGGCCCTGTGGAGAAACTTGCCAGTTCATAACAATCTGAGTGCAACTGATATGACTACCATACCTCAAAAGGCATTGTAAAACTAGAAAAGGGGCAAAAAAAAAAAAGCAAAACTAGAAGAGGGTCTTTCCTTATCTGCTTCCCAAATGAATCTGGCCAGTCGCTGAATGACTTGGAATGCTGGTGAAGATAAACCGTTTGTTTTGATCCAAACAAGGTTCTGTATGTTTTTTATGGAACAATTCCATTAAAATTTCAAAATGAAGCTCTTGTAAATGAAAGAAAATTAATTTTTTTCTTAGACTTATATGCATGTGTGTTGTGTGTGTATATGCTTGTGTAATGCAAGATCATGTGAACAAAACTTCAGGGCGTTTTGAATTCAGAGGAAACACCTCTCTGGGTTTATGGGGCAACTGTAATCTTCTTGCAAGAATAATCCTTTCCTTGCTGCCGACTTTCCATCCTAAACAGGGTGTTTTGCTTTCCTTAGGATTTTTGACAAATTAATTATGAAGGTGTCGTCTTTAAAAGTTGGACTTGCTAAATCAAAGCTAAGATTTAAACCTAGACAAACAGTCTGGAGACAGTGTCCTCACAAGTGACTAAATCACACCTAATTTTAGCCAGGACCTTTGCTAGATAATCTTCACCTGGGCTCAGAAGCAAACTGGCTAGTGGTACAATGAAGGAGGAAAAGTCCCATCCTTCTAAAGAAATAATGCAGCAGAATTTTTGTACTAGTGGCAGCTACCAAAAGATCTTCAAGGGCAACTGTATGTAAAGTGCAGGGTACCTATTTTTTACCTTTTGGTCATGCATCTGGCTGGTCACCGCAGAGTGTCTTCCTGTAATATGTGCCCATTGGGTCTACAGATCCCCAGAATTCCCAACAAGCATATTCACACCTGAGTTGTAACCCAACCTTATCTGAAGGGCACCAATTGGATAGGTTGTGAATTGTGCTGAATTATGAGTTGGCTAGCTCTTTTGGATCATCCAGAATGACATTTTAACATTTTTATTAAGTT